TCTTAAGGCTGATTTACACGGTACGATTTGTCGCGCGCGACTTGTAGTATACGATTTTCCTACTACAAGTCGTAGGATTTTAAGCAGTGGTTCAAAATCCTACTACAAGTCGTAGGTTGCGTACGACTGTTGTAGACAAGTCGTAGGGGCATTTACACTGCGCGATTCAAGTCGTATACTACAAATCGCACGAGACAATCGTGCCGTGTAAATCAGCCTTTAGGAAACTAGAAGGATGAAAAATTGGGTGATCCAGGAACATTATTGACGTGATTGAGACTGGAGTACAAAGTTAATAATTCATTTTTTTTTCTTGCAGCTACTCGACGTCCAGTGTGTCCTCAAGGGACATTTCAATGTGGCAGCAGTAAAACTTGTATATCTACAGACAAAGTTTGTGATGGGAACCCTCAATGCCCCCATGGTGAAGATGAAAGAAACTGCTGTAAGTTTTTTAATTTAAATCGTATTCTTTTAGCAAAATTCTTCTTATCTTTTCTCTTTGCCTTTGTTTCCCATTGGCTCAAATGCCACGTGATGCCACGCCCTTCTATTTTGTACAAAGGAATCACTGACAACGTTTTGTTTTGTTTTTAGTCATTAACGAGTGCAAATCCAATAATGGACATTGCTTACACATTTGTACTGATACCAAGACAAGCTTTTACTGCTCCTGTAAACCTGGCTATGAACTCATGGAAGATGGCAAAAGCTGCCGAGGTAACRACAGTGAAGATAGTCTATGACAGACATAGAAAAACTTCGTTAGTATGGTCTGTTTAGAGACCACAAGTGGACGGATTATCTGATTAACAACACGTCCCCGTTCAAACAATCAGTTTTCTTCGTGAAAATAATTGTTTCCRGAGTATTTTCTGTGGACGTTATATGTACAGTGAAACCCCGTCTTAATACGGCCAATCCGTTATAACGGCCAGATTTTTATCGATTTTCATATTTTCTACCCAATTAAAACGGCCACCTCGTTCATACCGCCAATGTTCGATATCACTTTGGTGGTCGGAATAACGAGGCTCCATGTAAGAATGCACAAACAAACTGAATTTCTTTTCCAGATCCTAATTCTGTGTTGTTGTTTCAGATATCAATGAATGTGAGATTCCAGGAATGTGCAGCCAGAATTGTTTCGATTTCAAGGGAGGGTTTAAATGCTCGTGTCTTGATGGTTACGTCTTGGAGCCTGATAAGAGAAGATGCAAAGCACAAGGTGAGAAGTTCCTGCKTACAAATGATTCTCCATAAAACCCAAATTATTGTTTCCATGGTGAAAACAACGTATGAAATATTAGCGAGCTTCGTAAAGGCGCCTGGAAATACCTCATTTTCATGTGCGCGCCCGCGATATTTTTGAAAGCGCCCGCTCATCTCGCGGTTATAGTGTTATAGCACACTAATGCTTCTTGCACCTTTGCAGGACCACGCCCATATTTATTATTCACCAATCGAAACAGTATCCGCCTCATAATGACAGACGGCAAAGAGTACAAGTCAGCTCTAAAGAACCTTCACGACGCTMAGTCTCTGAACTTTGACTTTGAAGAARGCATGTTGTACTGGACAGATGGACAACATGCGTCTATCTTGAGGGCTAAAATGGGGACAATCCTCTCTTCTAAGATTGAGAATGTTGTTAGTGAGGGGATCGTTGATGCTACTGGTATCGCCATTGACTGGGTKGGCAAGAAGATTTACTGGTCTGACTCTGGAAGTAACAGCATATTAGTAGCCGAGACTAATGGCAAGAATAAGAGGACTTTGATCAGTAGTGGATTGGACAAGCCTAGTTCTATAGTGGTTGATCCGTCAGAGGGGTATGTCTATATYTAGCATGCAAAATAAGTTAAAATGATTTTCAGCTAGTTCAAATTTTGTCCGTCTTAGAAGATGTATCCTGCTAGCTTTTTCCATTACATAAAGCTCTTTAAGGATGTAAGCTGTAAACGTTGCTCTCTTATTAATTTTCACAAAGCGTCKTTGTCGCCAAAAACAAAAATGCCACATTTGAAATATTGCTTTTGCGAATTGAATTTCAATGCAACTTGAGATATTTATACKCTGCTCTTTTGAAAATWACAACSTTTGCAATTTCTTTAGGACAATGTACTGGATAGACTGGGGCTCACCGGCCAAGATCGAACGCGCAAGCATGGACGGTACCAATCGCCGAGTCTTAATCAGCGGAGACCATATTGAACGTCCATCAGGACTGGCYATAGACTACACCACGCGCAAACTCTACTGGGTCGACTCYAAACTCAAAACCATCAAACACTGTAGCCTTAAYGGTACGGCTATACGAGAGCTTGTCAATCATGGACTTAAAAGTCCGTCTGCAGTGACGGTATTCGAGGATAACATATATTGGACGGATTCTAGGAGTATTTACAAAGCTAATAAGTTCACTGGTCAGAATAAGACGATGCTAGTGCACAATGCCGCAAACCCACAGGATGCGCACATTTACCATCCACAAAGACAACCATCTGGTAAGCTACGTGTTATTTTATAAGGTTTCTGTAGCTTGTGTCTTGTGTGTCTGCTCTAAAGTCGTTACAGCTTCTTTCTTTATGCTCATTTTATTCTGTAACAAAAAGACAAGCAACAACGAGAAGTGTTCAGTTTTAATATATTAAGTGTTATTTTTTTCAAGGTTCAAACCCGTGTGGTAAGAACAATGGAGGATGTTCTCATTTATGTCTTCTTTCGARCCATCAAAAGAAATTCAGCTGCGCCTGTCCAGATGGACTTTATCTACAAAAGAACTTCAAAACTTGTGCTAAACGTGAGTACATTTTGTCATTTTATTGTTTTTGGACTCTTCGACGCATCAGAGATCATTATCCTCATGTACAAGAGAAGAAATAAATGAAAATAAATAAGAAATGTTATACAATATTTAGGTTCATAATCAGAAAGACAAAACATTTTTATTGCTTTTTTTGGATATCATAACATTATCGTGTCATCAAAATTATCAGGACAGGTATTRCTTATAGTTTGTGAGACAAGTTGCAGAGACAATTGCACAGTGAAACAAACATTTTTTCAAAATATATTAACATCATTAATGCTTTATCGTAATCATCATTATRCTTAAAATATTATCATTGAAACCTTTGTAATTAAAATCTTTTTTTTTTTTTAGATAAGCCTATCAGACCCAACACAACTCCTCAAGCTAATACTGTCAGACCTAGTGCTGATGTACTGGTAAACGCTGCTGGTAGTAATAGCAAGGCAGAGTCTTCTTCGCCCAATGCTGGACTCATCATAGGGATTGTCGTGGGTGTAATGTTGCTAGTTTTAGCTGTCGTTATCATATTCTTCTTTGTCGTGCGAAAGAAACGTTCACAAAAACTTGAGTAAGTATCGCAGATATCATTGTTGTCGTTTTCGTTGTTGTCGTTGTTGCTGTTGTTGTCGTTGTTGCCGTTGTTGCTTTCGTTATTGTTGCTGTTATCATCGATGTTGTTGTTGTTGTTATTGTCATTATTATTACAGTCCGCTCTCGCTATTACRGACACCCTCGGGAGCGTAATTTATTGTCCGCAGTAGCGAGAGTCCGTCGTAACGGGAGTTACTTTCTGTCATTTCTTTGTATTTTTCTCCTGGGATTCGGTATTTTACTGTCCGCAATATCGAAGTGTCCTTTGTAGCGGGGTGTCCGTAAGGCGAGAGTTGACTGACGTGGTCTGATCTGTTGTCACTCATAATCAATCCTGTCATCATAGAATCCTTTACAACGCCGAGAGCCAAAACGATGTGGACAGAATGACTAACGGAACGGCTGGACGGGTCAACAAAAAACCTGATATCAAAAACCGCAGTGAATACAAACACTTTGCCAACATCAACTATGAACCAACCGAGCCTCAAACACCGCCTCCAGAGGACGACATGGACGAGGTTAACATCGAGGTGGATGAGACGCAGCCGGTTATAAGGAACAGCGTAGTATGATAAACAGGGAGACCAACCATGGAATTCTGTTATACGGTCACGTGACATGTGTCAYGGAAGGTACGAGTCCCAACTCTGATCAAATTGGACGAGCATCTGATTATTGGAGATTGGGGACAAACTAGATAATTTCTTTAAATTTAGGGAATATTCTAAATTAAATTAGCTATGATAACACGGCTTGTTTGCGTGAGCCATTAAAGATGAATTTGTTGCTTATTTGGCAACCATGATTCCTAGCGGTAAACAGTAGACTCTTTACATGTGACGCCACAGATAGTTTTGAAATGACGTCGTATTCTTTACTTTGATATGACGTCATGAAATTTTGACGTCGGATTATTTTAAGGTTATTTAAGAGTGTTTAGGGATTTCATTGTTTAACGTTATTTTCTCACGACGTCACCGATTGCGATTTGTGGCGTTAAAGGCCGTTTATAAGTGACGTCATTGAGATACAGCAAAATTACCGTTAGAGGAAAAGTTTAGTTTGGGGATTTTGTTTGTTTTGTTTTTCTAATCAAACGAGAAGACGTGTTTCAATGGCATAGCTAAAAGAATATAATATATATATATGAAATTGAAAATATCAAAGATATTTTGAGATCAAATTAGTGTTATTTGAAAATCTAATCTTTAGAATGTACATAAACCGTCTAAAACTTTCCCCCTCGTAGGACATTATATCTGGACCCCTAGCCTCATAATGTTATTTAAAATTGGTAGAGTTCAATGACTTGCGGTAACATCTGCAAGTAAGTGTTTTTCTATTGGCTCAAAGGAGCCACTCAGATGTCGTGTTACAAACGACAAAACAATGACATCACTCTGCAATTTGAGGCTTATTATAGTTAGCCATATTTAGAAGTGTTTAATTGCTAATGTTGCAAGCAATTTTTGTTGCCCACAATGAGTAAATATTATKGAATGAACCGTTTGGCGATTTCGTAAACCCGTGAACCAACCCATATTTATGTGTAATAGTTTAATACGAAAATAACAAAAAGGGGATTGTGCGTCATCACGTGATAGCGTCCATGTTGAACGAAAGAGCTAAACTGAGCATCGCTATCTGAATGTTCTTATTTTATTATCMAAAATGCAAGCAGTTGCGCCTCTGAGAAGAACGAAAACTTTGTTTTTATTATCATAAAGGACATAATAGGACCAAATCTCAATTTCCCAGCATGCTTTGWGTTTCCCATCATGCTTTGTGTTTCCCAGCATGCTTTATGTTTCCCCAAAAATGTCATTCAATATTTCTACCAAAGTTAAATCCATCTAACATTGMCTCTATCACGTGATAATGTAAAACCTCCAAATTTCGTGGGTCGTTTRAGTCCCCATATAATGTTGAAGAATTATACATAGTATATATAGCTTGAGCCAGTTGTCGCATATTTGTTATAAGGCTCCGTGATTTATAAAACGAATTTTTTTGTATATTTGAATCAGTTATAAAGCATGCTGATTCGTTGGCAATTGTTGAGTTCTAATACTAATTAATGTAAAGATGTACATATATATAAGTACGGTAAAGCAATCATATTTAAGTTTCAGCGGGCTGAGGCTTTCGCTATTCGTGCATTTTTTGCTGCTACTGGGATACAAGCATTTAGAGTGTGTAATAGAATAGATTACAGATATTTTAAACTAAGGCCTACTACGGAACCAAAAGCTACCGAGCAAATTTATCCGATTTAAAGCTATTTACCRAGGTATAGAGTAGGTCGGAACAAATTAAAAGCTAAAATCGTCTCCATTTTACAACTTTTCATAGGGGTAGGGGRTACTAGTATTGTCACACACTAAGTGTTTGTCTGCAAAGATTAATAACTAATAGCTAATACGCACTAATGCTAATGAGTACACAATGTGTAGTTAAGGTAGTGTCATATGACGCCATGTAAATAATATTGCACTTGATAGCTTTAAAAAAACAACTGTTTAAGACTTCGGCAATTCCTAACTATTTGTCGTGGGTTTTTGCCGATAAAAAGAATTCCTATAAGTTATTTAGCTAGAGTGCAAACGCTAAAAGCGTGAAAATTGAAGCCATTCAACCCGTGAAACAAAATTTGACTATTTATAGTGTGATAGTCAAATAGACAAAAGAAAAAATTAGAGCGTAGAGTACAAGCACTAAAAGCTACAAAATAGTGCTAATTAAACAATAGAAAACAATAGAATTAGCATAATTAAGCAGGATTCAAGTGGTAACTAATATCTATTTCACGGGTTTTTTGACTTCACTCGAAACAGATCGATTGCGCTAAAGAGTGTTGATGAGACCACAGTTCTAATTAACTATATATATATTTAATTAACTTTTACATGCTTTTACTGTTTGCACTCTATTATTATTTCTATATTATTACTATAGATAGGTTATTTAGCTCGACGTTGAAATTGCATATTTGTGTTCAGGTATTATATTGTGGGCAACGTTTGCTAGTATGATGTAAATAGTTATTATAATTAARCTAGCTTTGAAAAATTCCCAGTATTTATTTGGTTTTGTAGTAAAATAATATGCTTTGTAAGAAAATAAAAGACATTTAGATTCAGTTAAATATGCCTTCTTCGATATGTTTTTTTTCCTAGAAAGCAAGACGTAATTCAAAGGTCTTTCTCAAAACGATGGGGGTACTGCAGTTGCGCAGGGCTGTAAGCAGTAAAAGCTATGCAGCCCAATCAGTAAAAGCTAAATGTCCGCTTATGCATCTGCATTCGAGTTCCTTGTAGCTGATATGCACGCAAGAATCGAGTAAATAACTTTTATTTCAAAGCAACTATTCCGCCTGCAAGTCGACTTTTTATCAAAGKGGCACCCCTCTCTCACTAAAAACATGTAGCTGCCCCTTCAAATTTTAGCTGGATTTGTACTTGGAGTAGTCTCTTTTGGAGCCGTTCTTAGTGGCAGGCTCCCTGTCGAAGATTTAAAAAGCGGCTGCACACAAGGTTAAGTGTAGTATTTCGATCATTTCTCACAAATTTGTTTTTTACATTGCTTTCTTTCTGTTTCTTGCTATTATTCAATATATATTCATTATATGAAAAGATTATTTAGTTACGTAAGTAAGAGGTTTCCAATAGCAACAGATCAGGTCATTAAACAATTAAAGCATTAATTGGCAATTCATATTTAAGCTTTATATAAGCAGGTAGATTATTTTATTAACGCCTCGTTGTCTGCACAGACAACAAGGGCTCTACTAATTTGAGAGGCAGGTGTCACATACTGCCTTCCTACATCGTATAGACAATGGTGGTAGCTTATTTTAGAACTCTAGTTTTAACAGTATTTGAATAAATTTGCTAAACGAGTTAAGGTAGCATGAAATCGCTTGGTGCGCGCCCTATSGWACAGCTCCAACACAACACTTCTCAGCATGTTCAAWATCCCTATAATTTTTGCATGCTATATTCCATATATATTTTGATACTAACCAACTTGTTGGCATACACATGCCAAACAATTTCGYTATGTTTAGTTGCGACATCATTTATCTTATTGATGGCATTTTTCTTTGTTCATAAAACAAGACTTCTGTCTGTTTATTGTTYGTTAATCCTTTCTCTAACTGAGTTAATTGCTTTATTGGGCAAGAACCATGACAGAGATATAAGAACACAATAGAAAAAGTTCTAAAACTTGTCAATGTTTGATTGAATCATGTGAAAACASTTTGATGCAACTTCAAACTTTCTTCCAAAGTCTTTTCGATCGATTGTGATGAGAGAGAAAAAATGTCAAGACGCGAGCCTTGTGGAAAAAAACCAGGGGAACATCGTTTAAAAGGTTTGTTTGACCAACAGAATCGCCTKCTTGAACAAGAAATGAAAAAGTTACAAAAGCAACACAAGCAAGTGAGCAAGCACTGGAATGTAAAACAGAGAAAATTTACTTTGCATACCCTGGCAAGAAACTCACGATTGACTTCAACTTTTGAAGAAAGGTTTTCATACGAAGATGACGTCAGAATTCAGTCAACTCCAAGGCCTCAAGAACGAAGAAAATCGGTTGCAGTGTGCAGTCCTGCCGCTTCACAACTTACCAAAATTGATACAGTTAACGGCGCGAATCGTCGAATAAGATCGAAAAGTGTTCCAGCAATGAGTTCTGAACTCAAATCCCTTGATGTGCTACAAACAAGAGCACGTGATATTCAGCAGTTTTCACGAAACTTGGACTCTTCGAGTAGTTTGAGCTCTACACACAGTAGTGCAAATTTCAAAACATTAGTTCTTCCAAGGCTTCCTGGTGTCAAGGAAGAACTTTAGGAATAACGAGGAACACAAATTAGTTAAGGGCATGATAAATTTGTTTTACATGCTTAGAAAATCTTTTATGGTCGCGAAGATTCGCTAGACAGAATCCATATAATGCAATCAAGATAGTGTAGGACTTCGATGTCATCTTGCTGGCGAATCCCGCCATGTATTTTAGAATATACAAAATTTGTCACTCGTTGTAAATATTTGTACTTTTGATGAATTATAAAATGTAGATGAAAATTATATAGAGAGTGCTTTTTAGGCAACATAGCCATTTGTAATGATCAAACAAGAAAACATTTGTACCTAATTAAATATGGTTTAGCCCTTTTCCAGTTTCGTTTTAAACATTAACGTATTATTTCAGTTATTTCTTTCAACATTTCGGAATACAAAGTTATTTATTTCGTTTCGTTTCGGAACACATTTCGTCTTGTTTCGTGGCAATGTGAAAATTTTTTGATTGTTTTGGAGTTATTTTTATCTCTTATATTGACTAACGCGTCGTTGTTTTCCTGTAGATGTCTTCAGATTGCTTGCTAACGAACCATTAAGTGAAGAATTCAAGCTTAAATGAGGTTTTGACATCTTAGATTTTGTTCCTTGTCTACCGTGTTTGGACTGACGCCCAATCGTTTCCAGGCTTCCTCCACTCGGGAGTCTTGATAAGCTCTCTATTAGTAAGAATAAAAAATGAATTATAAGAAGATCGATTAGTTAATAGTCCTCTTCCATATAGTTGATTTTGGGTGAGGCCAGTAGAGCGCATGCGCGCTTGACAAAGTAGGATACATGCCATACTTTTTACTATGTTTCCTATCATGCAGTGCGCGCGATAGACAATATAGTGCATGCGAATATACATGTCAAATGTTCACCTTACAGCCTTTAGAGCGATGTTTGCTGTATACGTTTTAATCAAGAAACTTAATTCACAAGGCGAAACCTGTTAAAAATTTTTTCCCCCGATAATTTAGGAAGGGTGTTGGCGAATTTTCAGTGATTTCCCTTCGTGTGTTAAAAGTGATTTCGATTTTTTTTATTCTCGTGTTTTGTGTTGTTTTGACAAGCGTTTCAAGGGTATGAAGAGGAATTGTGCTTCTTTTTGTTATTTACTTACCCAAGAATTCACTTGTGACAAAGTCTGCATCTTTAAGTAAAGGTGTATAGATTGGTCTCTCGTTGCCTTCTATTTCTAGACAAAAGATATATAGAAAAAGTTATTTTATTTGTATTTCATTATATTTTGGTTGATTATTGCCATTCATCATTGTCACTCTCATTGTCATGGTTTATAGTATTGCGTGACTGAATTCACCACATCACGTGACCACGTGACACATGCGCAAGTCACAAAAAATATCAGACTTAAGGTTTACATCATTACACTAAACCTCTTACTTTCGACTCTAACGAGTATAAACATCTCTCTTTCTTTCAGGAAATCACTGGCGTTTGACTTCTGGTTGTCGATTAGACATCGTACTGAGCCGTTGACGTCTGACAAATCAACTTGCACTGAAAACAAACCAGTACGCATTCGTCAATTTTTTTGGAATCGATCCATAAATAGACCTTTCCCATATGACGTCATATTTGTTTTGACCAATTGCTTTATGGTATTGTAGTTGATTGTGTTGAACAAATCATGGTATATCAAGATATGGAAAATTAATGTCTAGTCACGTTTGCTCATGGTTATTTGATGGGTTCCCTGTGCCTCACCTTCTCTGGAACAGTTGCATCGTCTTTTGATGTCTTGAAGAAGATGAAATATTTGACAATTAGGGTTGAAGAGTGCTTCCTCTCCTTCTGCACGAAACAAAAGCAAATAACAACTTTTAGACTAAGAGGGACTCTAGTTACTGACATTCACTAATTTCCTACAGCCCTTGTTCGCACCATTTGTCAGAAGCATAAGTCTTTTTGAAAAAAACCTTTAGGCCTTCTGGGATACAGGGTTAGTCAACACCATATAATACTGACAATTTTCGCGCTTTCATTTGTGTTTGGTTAGCTCTTTGTACAAGAAAACCTGTGGTCAAATAAAACAGCGGTTACTCGCTTTCAATTCGCCGCGAATGGAGTATTTGAGATGAAGTTCTAAGAAAGCGATTTTTTTATGTGAATTTATTTTAGCTGCTTAGGATGTTGCCATGCAAAAAGCAAATAAATGGAAATGCATCAAGTTTTAATCACACTAGTACAAACAAATCGAACAAATGATTCTTTCCTTCGGAAATAACATGCAAATATTCTTAATAATGATACGAAAAATTAAGCCTATTATAGCTGAAAAATTTAGAGAAAGAAACTTATTTTACGTCGTTAGGGCACCACTAAATAATATTAGTAAAGCATTTGAAAGTGATTTAAGTACAGTAAGCTAAACTTTGTTAATCATTATGTAATCAAGTGAAAACTTCCAATGGCATTTTCCAATAATGTCAGCATTGAAGATTTACCAGGGAAGATTGAAGACCTAAAGCTGAAAAGGTGTTAGGGAGGTGTAATATTCAAATAAGCCGACAAAAGAAAACAATGGAATTAGCAACTTTAAGGTGTAAAGTCCCATATGTTGTACGGGTTTTGTAGAATTCACTCTAAAATTAGTTGTAGTCCATTGTTTTATTTTTGACTCAGTCAGTATTACTCACTTTGTGTCATGTTTAAAATAAGGGCTACACTTCTTTACTGATGCCGGCTCACACATTAAAGCGAGACAGCAACTAAGAGCAAATAATCACGTTGATAAGTTTAGTTTAGGTGATTATCGCCTTACCTCCAAACTTAACTGTAATAAACATGATCAACTAAAGAATTTAATCCAACAGGATACGTAGCAACCACGAAAAGACAGCGCGCGAGTACGTGCAAGATCCTTTCATTAATGACAAACCAGTTCATGCTACACAGGAATGCTGCAGTGTTTGCTGAGCAAGCAAACGCAAACGTGAGACATTTAATAACACGAATTGAGAAGACAATGGGCATGTTGACATCGATTGTCGTAGAGTTTGTTTTTGCATATTGTTATTTGGTCCTCGATTTATTCCGAGTTTAGACGTCGTCTGGAGATCATTGGGTTTCCTCATCGCTACTAAAGGATAGGGTAACGACGTCTCTACCCAAAACACTGACTCCAAGTCTCTCAAGTTAGTTTATAACATAGGTAAAAGTACAGTATGTACGAAGAGCACTACGACAAGGAAGCAGGATAAGATAAGAGAAATTAATGTAGGTAAGAGCAGAGTGGAGTGTGTGGGTTACTATAGGAGTGATATGTAGGTAACAGTACAGTATGCGTGCAGTGCAGAAAGGTAAGATGCGGCAGAATGTAGTGATGTTGGTAAGAGTAGCCTAAAGTATTCAACAACCAACAAAAAACTTTAACGCTTAACACATTAAGATGCATTTATTGAATGAGTTACACTGCCATAGCAACGACGTCACTTGCTTAGCAACGCTGTTGCTATGGCAACATGATTGACGGTTTCCACAGCACACGTGGGCCTCGCAATTGTCCTATGGTATTCTATTTACAAAGACAAAGAGGTCGGGGCCTCATAAGAGTATACTATTATGATTTTTAAAAATATTCTCCAACATAAGCTTAAACGGTGAGCTGTGCAAATCGGTCTGTCATCCAGTCGGTGGCGGGTGCTGTTCGGACATAAATTTATCGAAGTCTCTTCGCATTTCTTCTGTGAAGGCATAATCGTCGTCTTCACCTTCGTCGCCATTGTCGTTTTGGTAGTAGTTTATTTCGTCTGGACTGTCGTCACCACAATAGTCATTCCATTGGTCTGAATAAAAAAATATATAGAAAACATCGTCACTGAACATTGCCTGGAATATCATCATTACAAACAGCATCACCAGGGGTGGATCCAGGGGAGGTGCTTTGGGTGCGGACGCACCCCCCCTTTTCGAAGTACATAATTTTTGTATATATCAGTATAAAAGTTTTTGTGCTGTTTATTTATACTCGTGTTGTACTTTTATCAAGAAAACGCTAATAGCATACACAACATGTGTCTGCCTCTATACTGCTTAACAATCTATTTGAGTAGTGTAATCAAAGATACGTTGCAATAAAAGTCAATTTCCTTTCGGTCAAATTGTGCATATTTTTCTTGCTCTAGACAATACCCAGCTAACAAAAATGATGAGTTCCATCTGCTATACTTAGTTTTTAGGTATATATTATTACTGACAAAAACACCTCCCCTTATAAAATTATTATTATCATCACCAACATCATATTAAATACCTACCAGGATTCGAGACTGGTGTAATGTCATCGATATCATACGAATAATAATCATCTTGATAGTAACCATCCTTTGAAAAGAAAACAAGCAAATTAATCAAACATTCCCGGGCCTTCTCGCTGTTGTCTAGGTTCAATCTTTGTTCATTTTGTTTTTTAAGCTTGTTCTCTTCCTTGCTCCAAGAATTTTTTTCTCTTCATCCTAGTTATGCTATTTCTGTCCTTTGGCTTGCTGTGTTGTGTGACCGTCCGATTGGTTGTCCAGACTAATGGCGTCACATGTGTTTTGGCATAGTGTATCATGATGTTGACGAAAGTATCAAGATGGCGAACTTCTTATAAATACTTAACGAAATTTACGATATGGGAAAATGATGGATGGGACAGAAACAAGCCCATACCTGATCATTTTGATAAGCTGCTTGATTTGACGACTGGAATATTGGTGCCTCGGCAGAGAGAGAAGTATTTGACACAGGTGGAGTGTTCTCGCGACCCCAGTTTAATTTCCTCAGATTAATGACTGATTCCAGGAATACCTTAATGGAGCTATCGAAATTATCAATTAATCATCAATTATTATTGATTATTGTACAGTACAGAAAACATCTAGTCTACTCTATTCTTGGCATGCAAGTTAATAAGTCATCACCACCATGTTGGATTAAGATCACAAAGCATTCATCATTAGTTTCTCTTGTTCATTCATCCAACATGGCGGTGATAGCTTTGTTCTTTATTTCTCAGGTGATTCCTGGCCATGTGGTTACACACCAAGAATTCCCTGATAAAGACCACAGGAAGTCCAATCTCTAAGAAGGACAGGTTTTCTGTATAAATACTAGCAGTTTGCAGTAATGATTTGTGAAATAAACATTAGTTAGTCTATCTAGCAACCTAACCCTACTACCCATGGTGTATATTTAGCACTTACCTTCCCAGGTTGGGTGATGCAGTAATTAGAGTTTGGATTTCTTTAAAAATTTCGTCAACTTCAACGGTTAATTGATTATTAACAAATTTAGGATCATCCAATAAGGACCCTGTCAGCTGAAACAAGAAAAAAAAATATTTTATAGATGAATGTACATGTAGAATCAAGTTAGTTAAAAAAAAGCTTTGGAAAGCAAAGTACAAAAATAACGGCACAAATGTGCAGGCAAACATGGTGTATATCAAAGTTCAAATTTGAGCGATCAAATTATCTTTTAGCTTGAAAACAAAACTACTGAATTAAAGCAAAGATTTAGCCAGTCAAATTGAACATCATGTCCTGATCAGCTCTCATTTTTACGGGACAGAGGATTTATGAATAATAGTTGTGAATTACACATACCTTAAGAATACGGCCAGCATAGAGAAGAGAGTCGTCACTACCATGCTTGATCAAGGTCATCAACATCTCAATCAGTTTTTTCCTCAGAATATCAAGTGGTTCTGAATTCATTCTAAAGGTTGTATATAGTTCTGCAAGAAACATTGCAAACCCATGTACTCTTGATACTCTGTTTGGGGACTGCAAGAGTTCTTCTCTCTGTTTGTGCTCTTCTCCACACCTATGTTATGGGTTGTCAGAAAAAGAAAATGAATTCAATTGAAGTGTATTTATTAGAATATTAAAGAATCATAACCAACCGCCGTACCTTGTGCGCTCGTATTATTGTTTACGTACGTTTAAATGTGTCAAGCATACAATAGTTTATAGATTAATAGTACCTGTGAGGTACTTAGTTCAAGGTATTTCTTTCCAAACTGAAAGGATGGAAGACGATTCGCTCTAACTTTAAGAAATCCTACGAATCCGCCATTTTCRTGTCCACCTAAAATGGCACTTCGGCTCGCAAGGTACGACGGTTGGTTATGATTCTTTAAACACACGATTATTAAAGGGCTACTTGGACGAAAATTGCAAAACATTAGAAAAGACTTGGAAATCAAACAGAACTATCCATGTGGGTCTATAACCATGAAGCAACAGATTTTAAGAAGATATTGATACAAATCCTTAAAAATTTGGACAAAAACTGTTGGAGTAGATGACGTCATTTAATCCATTTACTCCAGCAAATATTTTCCCGTAATTGTTTTTAATAGATATATGTGAGTCATGCATTTGTATTGCTTGAAGTTTTGAAATAAGGGCATTTTCATGCAAGTAGCACTTTAATAAATGGTAGCTTAGGCAGGACAATATGTAGCAAGGTATATTTAACTAATATTATGTGAAAAATGAGTACCTTTGAAGAAATATTGTCCTAAAGCTTTTTGTTTCTTGGACATCATTTAAGTCTTTCCTTTTCGCAATGAGATCACACAGCCTTGCCCCAGTATACGTAAAGTTTTTTTGTAAGATAGACTGAAAGATAATGAGAAAACACAACCATTACATTTACAGTGAACTGTCCAGAATGACTAGTGAAATTACAGGTCACATAAAGTTTCAAAATATGACGTATTATTTTACTAACTTGTTCAATTATAACCCTTGCGACCTCATTCAAAGTGCCCATATCATGTATTCTTGCTTTCCACGCTAATGCTAGGTCATCTACAACCAGATCAAACTCCCCTGGGCTGTAAGTTAGTCTGTCCAGAGCCTCTTTGACATAATTCACCACTTGTATGTCTGGGGGCTGTTGTACTGGCTCAACTGACTTTGCTGGGATTGTGAATCGTGGGACAAACTCTGGTGCATTGACATTTAGATGCATTTTTGAAAGTGCATTGGAAACTGGAGATAAATTGATGGTTAATTTATAAGTAATTGTTTTTAAGTATACATTTAATACTTGCAGAGCTCATTTCCCAATAATTCAAATCTTAACACTGATGAATTATCATCAGTCATCTAGCGGCCTCCACCAGGTTTGAAATTAACTTTTGTTGGGATGTAATGGGATAACTGAAACTCTTAAACTACACTTATTTGAATGGACATTGTAGTGATTTATAAAAATAAAGATAAAATATGCTAAAAAAATATCAAATTTTACAAATGTAAAATTGCGCATAATTTGATTTGGACTGACTTCGATTATAACCTTAAAATTTCGCTTTTCTTTCAACATCTCGTAAAATGAATGTACACAATCAAAAAATACAAGTAAATATAAAAATAAGCATCGAACTTACACCAAAACGAAATCAAAAGTGTGAAAAAATAGTAGTCTCTCCTAGTGAGAGAGAGACGACCATGTTTGACATGTTTACACCACTATATTTTTCAAGACATACTATCAAAAAGAAATAATTTGTGATCGACACACTTTGAATTTTAAAGAATATTAAGTCTTTGACTAATAAAACAACTAGAAAAAATACTAGTGGGATCTTAAATTTGGAGAAGAGCGCCTCTCTTTACCAACAAATTCACTGTTATTGGACACGCTATGATCTACTCCATTTCTTTTCGACAATGGATCAAAAATAGCTAATTTGCTTTAAAAATACATCCCTCTTGAGAGCAATAAGACAGGAAATAATATACATATAAAAGTGCAGGAGAAAGGAAACATTTATAATTAGGAAAACAATTTCCTTTTAGTCCACTGACAACACGTACGAGTGTACCTGAATTTATGGAACCGCCATCTTGAACCGTTTCTTGTCTTTTTTCGCCTGGTTTTCTTAATGGAATGTACTGATGCGCATTGATACCTCGTCCAGGGAATCTGCTGGACATGATGAATTCTTACTTTCTTGGCATTAAAACATTTTACGGCTAAGAGAGCTGTCCAAAATAAAGGCGCTTTTCCGAATACAAACTTGGCATCGATAGTCCTCGTTGTATCTAGTTCCAGTCCCACATTGACAGATAACAAAAGGAAGCCCAACAAAAAAAGACTTCTGATCCACACAAAAAAAAGACGAAAATTTAATGTTTTTATGTACATCTGGTGATTAGAAGTACTGATGGGAAATAATGAAAGTCAAAATAGGAGAAAGAGCATGAAAAATGGTGGAAGTTGCTAATGCAAATGTGGGAAAATGAAATAAAAGAGGGAAAGAAAGAGAAAAGTGTGCAAAACTCAAATGAATAAGAAGAGTTAAGTAAATGATACACTTACAACTAAAGAATGAAAGACAGGGGATAAAAATATAGGCAAAGAAGAAAAAAACAGTTGTTTTGTATGATATTAAAATGTATTTATTTACAAATAATTCTGCACAATCGTACATAAAAATTTCAATTTGACATAGGTTTCCTGTAAAGATCAACCCAGCATGATTATTTACAGCAATTGTTTTGTCATAAGAAAAAAAGAAGACTAAAATGATATCAAGAAAAGCCTAAGACTTTCACAAAGGAACAAGACAGTGGCTATACATGTACATCACAGCAGGAAGCAAAGGAGAGATATCAAGTTGTTTGGATCAGTTGACATTATTRTGAAGGGTCTCCTATATAGCCTGATATCAAAATGTTTTCATCCTTCCCTAACTGATGATCTTTGACAAGATAACATAAGAATTTGATAGATTCATTCCCATACTCTCATACCAAGAAACTTCTCAATTTCTCAATGGAAAATCAAAGGGGCCCTTGATTTTCCATTTTGAAATTGAGAAGGATCTCAGTATGAGAACTAAGGAAAAAAAGATCACATTTTTGCAATCCAAAATCTATAAAGCGAAATAGATTTGGTCTATTTCATTCAGCTAACATCTTCGGTTCCTTTGATCCTAAACTATTAGTTTCCTGATACACACTTCCCCCTTCAAGACGCAAACATATCAATGCACAAACATTTGTAGTATATTAATTTTGCGGCTTGAGGTAAGTGTCGTTGTTATAGCTAACTTTTATTAATCTTGCTCCATAGTAGTCAATAACATAATTAGCTCCATCTGATGGACCAACAACCTGAAAGTCAAGGAAATAAATAGAATTTAATCGAAAGGGTACTAGTGATTATAAAATCAAACAATTCAATATAGGTAAATAACTAACCTGTGATGCAATAAGCAAAATATCTATCAATTGGAATAAGAAGAAGAAACCTAATGTACAAAACTTGAGTAAACCTATAAAAAAAATAAAAACATCACTTAAAAATATAGCATAGATTATTTTGAATCCTCTATTGTGATACACATGAAATCACTCCAATGTTGATATCATTATGCACTTATCATTTTCAAATGCTTTCAGATCAGAAAATATAAATTCAAATGATTTTTTTTTTCTTAAAAAGTTATTATCCTGTTCCCTAAAGGAGTACATCTTGGTGGACTTTAAAACAACTTTTTCTTACCAATAGCTGGGTATCCTAAGTAGAATCTATCTATACCAAACATGCCAAGAAATATAGACAACAGTAGTGCTGTTTGATAAGAATGACCATTCCTGAAAAATACATGACATTATGAGCATTTTTCAAAGTTGATAAGAGATTTTTAATTAACAAAATTTGTACGAGTGAAAATCTTAATCTTCACACTTACAGATAAATACACCTCATACACATTGTGTTATCTATTTGACCTGTTATTGTCTAAAATAGATAGCCTGTAAACACATTGTAACCTAGATAGTATAGTAGATGCATGGGTTGCAACGATGGGAATGGCCAGGGGATTAATGCATGCTTGGGAGGGGGAGGGGGGCATTAAGGGGGATTGATACAGAGTTTTTAAACTTACGTGTATCTACATGAAATTCTTTTTTTAAACTTCATCACACTTTCTCCATTATAGTTACATGTCAAACCAGACAACAGCATACACTCAACTGAAAAATAATAAATTTGTTTTAGAATATCTAATAGCAATATCACTTATAACACCGAATTGATTATTTTCTAAATCAAAATCTGTTGTCTTAATAAATATTTATATCCATGATACTCTGCTGCACAAAGCTTTAAGCTATCTTGGTAAATACGAAATAATGAATTAACAGAACCAGAAATCAGATGAATTACAGATACAGCTGAGGTAACTTACACACCTTCAACAGAATGATTCTTGGAGCATCCTTTTGCCGACTGTGTTTTTGGATCTATCTCTGGCTCATCACATTTATATATAAGAAAGGTTAAGGTTAAATAACAGTAAGATATCATATTTCTATAGCTAATTCCGTAAAAAAACAAGATGGAATTTGAGGAAAAAAGAATTCGAATGACGTTTAAAAAGATATTGTCCATCCAATAAATCCTCACAACTCGGATCTTCTTCACTACCACTCACGGCATTGCGGTATGTTATACAGGATAGAAAGATAGCTATCGAAAACAGATGCCAAATAACCATTCTAGCTACAAGAAACGCTCATAAAATTGATGAAGTTGTTTTCTTCCTCTTCAAAACAGACAGCCATCTTGAAAATGTTCCCGAACCTCGATATCGCGCTCGACCCAATCCTAATCTCAAAACAAAATTAAAACTTTGCGCGCGAAGACAGAAAATGGTACAGAAATTGACATTTTGCCCTAAGATGGGTATTTTTGGCGTTAGTTTGGGCCATTTCAGAGCATAATGATAGATGAGAAAGAGTTAAAGAAATGGCTAGCGATCGTTGAGAAATCTTGCTCATCTAGTGAAGAATCTGGAGAAAAGCATGGAGGAGATTTGTTTGAACACCTAGATGAACTTGTTGCTTTCCTATTTGAATTGAATGAATTCGTCTCTCAAAAGGTAAGCTTATGTTGAAAATATATCATTTGAAATACTGTATTTATTACAACTAAACGATTTTAAATTGTGGAATTAACAGAGCACTGCAAGGGCAGTTTTACAACAAATACCAAGTGTTGGGAAATTCCTTGGTGCACTTACTCAGAATTGCATTGTGCAGAGCTCAGGTATTAGCTGAAAATGTGGTTGGTTGAATGAATGAAAAAAGTGCATCTATTCAATTATATTTTATTTCTTTTACAGAGAAAGCAGTGAAGCTACTATTTCAAGTTATAATATCCCTAGCATCCCATGAGGGGATGGATAGTACAACAAGAAAGATGATTGCTTGGGCACAGGTATCCCATATGGCATTAATGTTGTGTTTTTTCTAAACCCATTGACTTTGACGTAACAAGCCATCAAAATTATGTCGTTAGAAAATGATATTTGTTTTGTGGTTAGTCACAAATCAAGCAAATGGCCAGTCCTAGTCCAGTATGTCCTGCATCTTTCCTCTTGATTGGACATTGCATCGGCAACACTGCAACAGAACTAACACAAACCATGACAGACAAGGTAAATAAAACCTCTCTGCAATATATCTCTTTGCATATGTTATAGAGGATATTACATGGGCACGTTAGAATACAGATTTTATCTGAAGTGTTGAAAGATTTTCAACATGAGAAAATTGCATCTCCAAGCGGCCATGTAATATTCTTTTTATCATATAATTATATATGAAAGCAAATTGCGGTTTAAAAACTTTTATTTACCTCCAATATATAGAGGTACCATGAATGTGATGCAAATGAATAATTTTTACTGTAACTGGGAATCTATTCAATTTTCAATGATAATAATTTCAATGTTACAGTGTAATCAGTTTCACAACATTTCCCATTTCTTTTTTCTTGCAGTTCGTTCTTTCAATTTGCCATGATCTCATGAAAGACGATGGCACCAGATGGAACCCTTCAATCAAGTAAGCTTATTTTTACTCAATCTGGTATCTAAATAGTTACTATCTACATAGTGTACTCTGCTGCACCAACCTTGGTGTTTAATAAAATAAAACCTAGCTTTCGACTTAAGCAGTCATCTTCAGGGTTACAATGAATCTTGTTACAATAACATAAAATCTTCACCATCATTGTCATTATCGTGATGGAATATCCTTTAGGAATGAGATGTGCTACTCTGCAAACAGATTTAATTTTCTCACCTTTCTCTCACTTTCTTGGCGGGTGATAAAAGTAGATCTGTCAGCAAAGAGTGGCAAAATTGTCCAGCCTCTTTTTGTGAAACAAATTAGCAGAATTTTATTAGTAGAATTTTCAATTTTCTCATTAAAAAAAAATTTTATTCCAAAGCAACTTTTATTTTCTTTAAATAAATTCCTAAAATTGAAATTAAAATTTTCCGGGTGAAAGATTCTTGTATCCTCCTTATAAATCACCAGTTGCCTCGTTTTCATGCACGTTCCGCGCGAACGAACACGTGTATTCAAAATGGCGGAAGAGAAGGATGGTGATATCAAAACACTGAGTTCTGGTACCTTCCCTGAAGTGGTACTGTTGAAAATATTCAGTAATTTGTCCATTCAGCAACTGGCACGATCCCGCAGCGTATGTAAGCAATGGAATACGGTTGCTTGTTCAGATATTCTCTGGAAAAGGTTTATTCCAAAATGGCCTGGTTTCGTTCCTCCTCAAAAGTCAAGCGCTTTTAAAACTGTGATGGCTATGTGGAAGTCGAGTGTAAGAATAGGCAGCGAAAGATGGTATGCTAATCCTCTTCCGGAGCTGGTTCAGTACGAGAGTAAGCTTCGAAAAGCAGAGTCTCATCAGTTTTTCTCGAGACACTCGACTACAACTCTCTACGTAAGGTTAAATCCTTGTTATGACTTCACAACCAAAGGGAAAGAGACAGACGATACGAGGATTAGTGAAGCTTGTAATGACATTTTTGAGACTTTCAAAGATAAAAGGGAAGATCAGATGGTTTTACGTTTGGAAACACACATCGATGTAATGAAAGGGGCAGAATTTAAAAGTCGAAAAGAGGCCATGGACAAGTTGCTACAGGAGCTAGAACCTCCATATTGGTTCTTGGAAGGACTGGGTTTAGAGCCACGACAGCTTGACGAGGATGGCAACATCGTTAATGCATCACCTGATGAGCAAGATGAAGAAATCAAAGATGATCTTGGTGATGTTGCTGTGTCAAAAAATAAAACAATTTTTGGAGATTACAGGAATTACACAGCTTGGACCAGCAATGTGAAGCAAAGACTTCCGGTCCATCTGTACCAACAGATTAAAGCAATTTTTGCTGGTCAAAGCAAGGATTTCATTGAATACTATCTTAATGATGGTTGCTGGAATGAAAATTATGAATATGCTTTCTCTGTGTTGATCAGCAATACAGCAGCCTTTTACATTGAACACTTTTATGAACTTTAAGTTTTGAATAGAGTGTTACCTGTAGATTCCACCAAAAGCATGAAACAATTCTTAACTATTTTGTGCCTAATAAAGTTTTGTTATCAACTACGTGATACCCTAACTAAGAATTTGGTGATGCATAGATTTGACACAAAGCATAAACAAAAAGTGAAAATAAAAGGCTCCTTTGAATTCCTTTGTCATTGTGTTTCATACTGAAATTCTTAGTTTGTTGATAACTGAATAGATCCTAATTGGATACTATTAACACTAAATAGTTCTGAATCTTTTCATTTTTTTGTGTCGAGTGCATTAGATTTAGTTATTTACTGTTTTAATAATATAATTTAAAAAATCAGGTACCTTACTCAAATTCAAGGAGATATCAAAACAATTCTTCTAGCATATACCATGGATGAAAAATGGAAATGAATAAATGAACATAATTTGCAATTAAAAAAAATTAGAGTATGCAGTGGTTAGATTGTACAGATCACATTACTTGACATTTTTACTATTCAAGCACCATACCCATTTTCCAAATATATACAGCAAAATGACTTGCAATCTCGAATGGGGCTGCTGTGGTATTTTGTTTTGAGAGGGCCTGAACAGAGTCGGGGGGTCAAAACCATACAGGAAGTCGATGCTTCGGCGTAACTATGGCGTTCGACGCTCTACCGGACGATGTGATATTGTTTATATTCAGGAATTTACCATTACAAGAACTTGCAAGAGTTCGTGGAGTATGCAAACGTTGGAATAACGTAGTCAGGGAAACAGATTCTCTTTGGAAACAGTTCATTCCAAAATGCAAACACGTGGACCCAGGAGATGCGCTTAGGACTGTCAGTTTGATGTGGCTCCAAAGCATTAGAATTGGCCAAGAAAGATGGTATCGAGATCCTCTATTTGAGCTTGTTTATTACGAGCGTCGACTCCGCAAAGCAGAATACCACCGATTTCATCGAAAAAATTCAAAGACCATACTGTATTGGAGACTAAGTCCTCGATACGAGTTCACAACCAAAGGAAATGACGTCCAAGACGTCGAAATGAACGAAGTTTGTCGTGAAATTTGGGACGAATTCAAGGGACAAAGTGACGAGCCAGCATTACGGATAACATCTCACGAAGCAGCTATGAAAAACGCTTCTTTTGATAATCGATATGGTGCAGTGGAGCTATTACTCGCCGAGCTTGAGCCTGGGTGGTTCTTGGAAGGACTTGATTTGGAGCCGCGAGAGCTCGACGCAGGGGGAAACATTACTAATGTTGATCCCAATGAAGACGACGAAGAGGTTTCGTCAGATGATCTTGGTGATGAAACTAGAGAAGAAATATTTGGGCCATTGGCTTTTAGTTCTTATGACTCTAGTGCTTGGACCAGCAAAGTGAATAAACGACTTCCGGTTCATCTGTACAATAATCTGAAATCTACATTCGCGGACGGAAGTGACGATTTCATTTTCTACCCGCTTAATGACGGGACATGGAATGAAAATCTTGAATATGCTTACTCTCTGTTGATAAGTGATACAGCTGCATTTTATATTGAACGCTATTATGAACTATAGATTTAAGATATGATTTGCTGGATATATTGACTCTAATTATTTTGAATAAAAGCTAACAAAATCGATAGAGGCCTTATGCACCACTCGGTGCGAAACAGCACGATGATGATGATGAATAAATTGCGCCTCCATGATTGCTGTATCCAATGTACACTCCTCATTCTTGTACCCAGACCAACCTCAGCTTCCTAACGGAAAATCAAAGCCTTTGATTTTCCGTTATTAAGCTGAGGAGGGTGTGGGTACAAGTATGACTCTCTGTTCAGTTGTTCCACATGATAAATGATATGCTTGAATCATTATGAAACAAATACCATTTTCCTTCAGAAAGTTGTTAAAGTCTCTGCATTTTACTTTCAACATAGAACTGGCAAAAACTGCCAAAATTTTATCTTGACATTCAATATGTGAATTATGCACCAGCTTCATTGCTGTATGTTGTCATCATTGCCGGATTTCAAACTGAATGGGGACTGGGCAAAATCCCCTAATTGGATGATGACAAGATTTCACGAGATAAGTCGACTTACAAAGAAAGAAAGCCCATGTTGAGAAATGCAAAATTCCAAAATCTGGTGTCAATCAGTTCAATAGTGAACKAGTTACGGCCTTTCAAATATTCTAAAATTTGCAAAGAAATGTATGGGAAGCCGCAAATGTGTCCGAATTTTGACCATTTTCCGGACACATTCACAGCTTTCCATATATTTCTTTGGAAATATTAGAACATTTGAAAGGCTGTAACTTGCTCACTATTGGACTGATTTACATCAAATTTTGGAATTTTGCATTTCTCAACAAGGGCTTTCTTTCTATGTAAGTCTTATGTCATGATTACCCAATTAGGGGATTTTGCCCAGTCCCACATGGTTTGAAATCCGGCAATTTAGACAATTCCAGTTAAATGTATAAGGTTTTTAATAGCACATATTTTCTGTAATATCTTTTATAAACTATAAAAAGAAATCATTTATTAATCTACAAATCATAAAAAATGATCCTGTAATAGGCAGCAGTATCTGTAACCATCAATGACAAATCGTAGATAAAATTTTTGTCCCCACATCCGTCATTAAAGTAATAATGTGTGCAATGTTTGCTATTGTCTAGAAAGAGAGCTTTCAGTTGTCCATACAGATGGACTGGAAGTCGTTGATTCACTTCATCSKTCCACRCTTTAGTGTTGTGGTTTGAGCCAAAATACCATGTTACCAAATCTTCCTTTATCTGTGCAAAATCAAAGGAAAATAGAGATAGYAGGGTGGAAACAAAAATGTTTTTATTTCTGGATTCTGTAACTTGATCATTGAAATTATCATCTGGTATCTCCCCATCGTATTCAGTAGGTGAAGCATTTGTGATGTTGCCTTCATCATCAAGCTCTCGACGTTCTAAACGGAGCCCATTTAGGAACCAATCTGGTTCACAGTCATCCAATATGGTTGACATCAATTCTAACCCAGTCATGTGATTTGCATGACCCATCATTTGACAACAGTGGCATTGGCTGAATTGTGTATCCTTAAATTGCTGCCAAAGATAACTACCAACTTGACTTATCTCGTCGTCTTCTGTGTATAAGCCTTCCTCGAAACTGTGGGAAGGATTCAGTCTCAAGTAAGCCATCATTGTTTGACCCCTTATATCCATGTCTTTGCTTACCGAGTATTTAAGTGCATTAGTTGCTATTACATCTTGTAACTCTGCTTTTCTTAAACGACTCTCATATCTTGCAAACTCTGGAAGAGGATTAGGATACCATCTTTCGTTACCTACTCTTATACTTGATCTCCACATTGCCATCACAGTTTCAAAAGCACTTTCCTTTTGTGGGGGAGCATAGCCCGGCCACTGTGAAAGGAACTTTTGCCATAAAAACTCGGACCGTACAAGGCTATCCCAGTGCTTGCACACAATTCTGATCCTCACGAGTTCTTGTACCGATAATTTACTGAATATTTCTAATAGTATATCGGAATGAAGGTCATTGRCATCTACCTTGCCATTATCAACCGCCATGTTGGATTATACCGTTCCCTTTAAACCACAGGAAGCCCAAGGTCTCTTGGTGAATGACTGTTTCATTCTTCCTTTTCTTTCAACTTTCCGGAAATTTCACAATGCATCTCAGAATAAGTGTGTTGAGATGATTTTGTCTAAATAACTTGTTATTTTTGTTATTTTTAAAATCATAAAGCTTCTTCTTTTTGTCCTACCAACTTTTTCCTACAGCTTCGTTTCCATACCATAACAAAGATGGCGGACGAAAACGTTTTCGTGTTCCCTGAGATCATTCTTTTGAAGATATTTAACAATTTGTCTTTGAAAGAATTAGTAGGAGCCCGACTTGTATGCAAGCGTTGGAATAACCTKGTAAGGTCAGAAAGTCTTTGGGAGAAGTTTATTCCGAAATGGCCCTGCTTCGTTCGTCCGAAGAGGAGTGCATTTCGAACTGTTAAATCAATGTGGAAGTCAAGCATCGATATTGGAGACGAAAAATGGTATCCCAATCCTCTACCAGAGATTACAAGCTACGAAAKCCGATTATTTAAAGCATTTCTTCACCAGCGAATAAGTCTTGCGCCAATCGGAAACCGCGTCCTAAGTACAARAACAAGGATGTATTTCAGACTGAATCCTTGCTACGACTTCACAAACGATTTTTACTCCAGGCAAGGTGATATGAATGAGGTTGGTAGATACCTTTGGGAACAATTCAGAGATAAAGTGTATGGAAAGTGCGCTTGTTGTGCCATGTTTTCCCACTCGGAAAATATTAGTCGTAAAAACATTTTGGAAACCATCTTGCAAGACTTAGAGCCTGGTTGGTTCTTAGAGGGACTTGGTTTAGAGCACCGTCAACTMGATATGGACGGCAATATCGTTAATTCCTCACCTGATGAAGACGATACAGAAATACCAGAAGATGATCTTGGCGAYTTTTRTTTTTCAGCTGAAAATTCGAGCATKTTTGGCTCATACGATAACCCCAGAGCCTGGACTAACAAAGTGAATCAACGACTTCCGGTTCATCTATATAAACAATTGAGGGCTCTGTTCGTAGACAACAGTGCTCATTATTTCTTTAACGATGGATGTGCAGATAGAAATTATAACTATGATTTGTCCTTAATGATTAGTGATACTGTTGTCTTTTTTARGAATATTTCGTACGATGCATGATTTCAGTCATTTGTCTGCCATTCTGGGCTCATTAATAATATTRATATTCATTAATAAAAACTCATATATTAAACTACACTTTATGACGAAATAAAAGTAAAGATATGAAATAAATAAATAATTTGAAGCATCGGATCGACTTATGTTTTTAAACTCTTTTATGGGCTTTCTGTGCAATAATCGTCACGGTTGTCACACAAGACAAGAGTAAATGGCTGGGAAACCGGCTGAATGATGAATTCCTTTGAAAAATATCAATTTCCTGACGTTGTACTTCTAAATRTCTTCGCGTATTTCACAATTCCAGAGCTGGCACAGCTTCGCAAAGTGTGTAAGAGATGGAATAACATTATTCGAGCAGATAGTCTTTGGAAGAAGTTCATTCCRAAATGGCCGRGATTTGTTCCACCATTGAAGCCCAGCGCACATCGAACTGTTGTTAAAATCTGGAAGTCAAGCCAAAGAATTTGTAATGAAAATTGGTTTCCTAACCCTCTAACAGAGCTAGCGAGATACGAAAAGCGACTTAGGAAAGCAGAATTCCATCATTACTCCTGGAAAAATCCTCGCGGTTCCGCCATTTTGTATTCAAGACTCAATCCACAGTACMAACTAACAACAAAAGGAAAGGATACARAAGACGATGTAATGAATCAAGTTTGTAGTGAGATTTGGGAGAAATTCAAGGACAGTGATGCTGGTTTTTCCTATGATATCAGTACACACRCGGCGGCTATGGAGAAAGCAAAGTTTCTCTCTCGTAAAGAGGCATTGGAAATGRTRTTACAAACATATGAACCACGTTGGTTTCTTTCGGGTCTGGACAAGYATAGATATGAATTGAATGATAACGGTGATATAAAGAACCTAGGGCCTGATTACGACGACGAAGAGATAGAAGAAGATGTAGTCGAGAATGATGGTGTTTTGGAGTTAAGAGATAGGAATGTTTCTCGTCGAGTCCATCTTGGGTCCGTGAATGACCGGATGGCATGGCGTGACGAAGTGAACAAACGACTTCCGGTCCATCTCTACCGCCAAATAAAAACTTTATTTGCAGACAATAGCGAGCATTTTATTGTGTATTACTTGAATGACGGATATTTTAATGAAAATTACGAGTATGCTTTCTATTTATTGATAAGTGACACTGCAGTATTTCACATCAAGCGATTTTTCGACTTGTAATTTTTCATAGTTATTTATATCGTTATATGGGTAACAGTGACGTAACAGGGAGGTTCTTATCAAACTTATCACTATGACGTCATAAAATGTAAAATATGACGTCATAACTATGTATTGTTTTCACCACAAACTGCATTCACGAGAAGCACCAAAAACTGTGAGTAAAAACCTATTTTTACAGTGATTTGATGCCAAGTTTTAACCACCATGGTCTTACTTTGCGAAAGYTGTCCGAGATGTGTCTGCCAATAATTACTGAACCTATTGCAAAACCATTGGTAAGTGCATGATACAGTGCAAACTATGAAAAGAGCTGTATTACCTG